ATTAACTGAGGCTATTTACTGAGGTGCATGTGAGACAAACGGCACACATGATATTGGAATCAGTAATATCAATAGAATATCAGTTGATAAACTCGTAGTAATGTGTATTTTCATAGATTCTTCATGGGTATGTAATAAACAACCTTAAGATCTCTTCATGATGATAATCTATATGTCAGCATTGAGAAATAATTTTGTAGTTTAGACTGATAAAGAGAGGGGCTTAATTTTTTTTCTCGGTCGTCGGATAAAGAACGATTTTGATTATTTTCACGAGTGTGTAAAAGAGAAAAAATCTAGCCTGTTCGGAGGAATTTATGTCTTGACCTGCAGATTTAGATTTTTGAATATTTTTCATTCGACAATGGAGCTCAAAATTCACTTTCTTTCTTTATCTATTTTCAAACATGACACTTAACCACAATTCAGATCTTAGCAGTGTGCGTATATAAACAGAGCGTATGTCCTGGCTCATTAACGAGGCTCTAATTAAGGCTCTGAGGTCAAACTTTCAGATCGTAAAATCCGAAGGTCAAAGATTTGAATCCTCGAGTGAATTCATTCTCTCTCCCACGTTCGTGATGAGTAAATAAGATCGATATTTCTTTCATTCTTTAGACTCATGTTTCAATTTATTTCTATTTGTATCTTTAGTCAATACCCGTTTATCTAATTAATTGCATTAGGTCGCTATTAACTTATTCTGTCCTCACCTTAACTCCTGTGAAAATGTGACTTGCCCCACACGTGTGTAACAAAACGATGCACTTGGTAACACCAGCAGTATTAAAGAAGCTGAATATGAGCTCATCGCACTCGAAACAGAAAATCATTTGTTTATTTCGTGATACACGATTTGATTTTGGAGCTATGCTATTTCACTATTAGAACGCCAAGTTGGGACTGGGCGTCACATAACATTTCTTAGTTTTTCATTTTCATTAATCCAGAGTATCGCACAATGATCTAAACTTCCAAATTTTTTTCCGCTGGTGTGGTGTGGTGTGTCGTTAAACTGCCGCCTCTTTGGGTTGTATGTCGCCGAACTGCCTTGTGGGAGGTCGAGGGTTCAAGCCTACGACTGGATGTGGGAAGATATTGTGCGAATTTCAGAGTACACCACACAAAAAGAATGACTGAACGGAAACGATTAGAGACAAAAGAGAGTACGAAATATTCAGTACTAGAAATAACGACCACAACTTTATTCCGTTTAACAACTTCAGACAACTCACAGCACTCCTCTGTAATTTAATCATTCATACAACGTGCCACAGCTGAGAGTTCTTTGGCCGAACTGAGAGTCCTTTTACAGCCAGTTAAAATAAAAAAAAATATTGATCGATCACCTTAGAACTTCGATCAGGAGTACAAGTGGGAAGGGGGTTTAACCCAATAACTCCCAAGATCTCATTAGTAATTCTCCCTACGGTCTGCCATAAAATACTCATGATTTCAATTTGGAGAATTTGGT